CTGGAGGAGCGGCAGAGGCAGAAGCTGGAGAAGAACAAGGTGGGAATGGGGGTCACGGTGCAGCGGGCGGGGGGGCTGGGGCGGCACATGGGATGTGATCCCTGTGGAGTCCTTCTGGCTCCAGCAGTGCTTTGGGAGTGCTTCGTTAGCCCTTTGGGAGCTGCCCACTGCGGCTGTCCTCTGCTGTGCCCATCCTTCACGGTGCAAAGCCTCCGTGGTGCCCTGGCCCTTGGCACATGTGCCCTGGCCAGGGTGGGCGTCGCTGCCCGTTTCCCTCCGAGCACCCCATCGCTGCGATGGCCTCACGCCGGGAGGCTCCGGCCGGTCCCTGCCCTGCTCGGGGCTCATCCCGTCCCTCTCCCTCGGGCAGGAGCGCTACGAGGCAGCGATCCAGCGGTCGGCCAAGAAGACGTGGGCAGAGATCCGGCAGCAGCGCTGGTCCTGGGCTGGGGCCCTGCACCACGGCTCCCCCGCACACAAGGACGGTGAGTGCCGGGCCGGGCGCGGGCACCAGGGACGCCGCGGCTCCGCCGGACCCTCACCCAGCGCGGCCCCCCTGCAGTGGGGTCACACTGACGTCACCCCGGGCTGTGCCGGGGACCCGCAGGGTCCCTTGGCTTTTCCCTGCTCTGGTGGGGATGGGTGTGAGCCGGAGGCCGTGCATCACGGTCCCTGCTCTTCACAGGGATGTGTCGAGGGACAGCCCTGGCTGCCTTGGAATGCTGTGGCCATGCTGCCGGGTCTCCAGCAGCTCTGTGGGGAGCCAGGCAGGGGCTGTGGAGCTGTGCAAGGCTTCTGCAGGCTCCGACTGGGGTCTGTGCTGTGGTGTGTCCCTTTGTGCCCCAGCTGGGTGGGGGCAGCGCTGGCCCCTCCAGCTCCAGTGACCGTGGGGGTGACCGTGGCCATGTGTGTGGCTGCAGAAGGTGGCCCCGCTCCTTAGGGGCTCCTCAGGGACACCCCGAGTGATTAGGCACCAGAGTTGGGCATGTGGAGGTCTCCACTCGTCCCTGACTGCTGAGGGTACAGGGCTGTGCTGGCAGGTGCTGGCACTATGTGGCAAGGATGGTGACAGAGAGGGGAGTGCTGTGTCCCCAGGGTCTATCTGCCCACCGTGGGGTGGCTGTGGTGGCCGTGGTTGTACCTGGTGGGGCTGTGTGCAGGTGTTGTGTTCCTGGCTGTACCTGGCCAGGCTGTGTACAGGCGTTGTGTGCCATGCTCTGTGTACGGGCACCATGTGCCACGTGTGTGCAGGCGTGTGCCCGGCTGTAGCTGGTGGGGCTGTGTGTACAGGCACCATGTTCTGGGTACACCTGTCCAGGTGCCATGTGTGGCACACTCGGGGACAGCCCCGCGTGTCTGTGGTGCAACACCCAGCAGGGTCTGGCAAGAGGACACCTTCCCCTGCCACCTCCTGCAGGGGTGCACTGCCAGAGCTGCTGCCAGCTCTGACTCACCCATGTCCTGCCTCCACCAGCCCAGAGCTTCCCTGGCTGTTTTGTCCAGAGGAGCCTGGCCAGACTGGGGAGATCCCAGCACTCCGTGGAGGTGCTGCCAGCCACCAGCACCCTCTTGGCACTGCCATACTGACCCAGCACCAGTGTGACGTTGTCTTGTGTCTGTCTGGACCTCACCCTGCTCCCCCAGGGTGGCTGCTTGCCAGTGCCGCCGAGGTCTCTGGTCACCCTGCTCCCGACTGCCAGGACTGTTTTTGGGGAGACTGTCGTAGCATGGTTCAGGAGCCGCCCTGCCTCCCCAGGGATGAGATCCCTGCATGATCCCAGCATGACCCTGTGGGGTTCGGACACTGTCATGACGAATGCCAGTGCTGTGTGTCATGTCCCCAGACACCAGCGTCTCCTGCCATGTCCCCGGATTCCAGCATCTCCTGCCCCACTCTGTGCCGTGTCCCCGGATTCCAGCATCTCCTGCCCCACTCTGTGCCGTGTCCTTGGACTCCAGCATCTCCCCTGGCCCCACTCTGTGCCATATCCTTGGACTCCAGCATCTCCCCTGGCCCCACTCTGTGCCGTGTCCTCCCGCTCCCACCCCAGTGCCCCGGCACAGCCGTGCATGCTGCATGTGGGGGGCCTGGCCCCGGCCCCGGGACCTTAATGCCCTTGTGTCTTTTCCCTCCTCCAGGTGCGAGCCGGTGCTCGGTGTCCGCTGTAAACCTCCCCAAACACGTCGACTCTATAATCAACAAGCGGCTCTCCAAATCCTCTGCCACCCTCTGGAACTCTCCCAGTAGAAGTAAGAGCCCTTTGCGTTTGCCCCAGCGCAGGGGGCACAGCCCAGTCCCCGCCCAGCGCTGGGGACCCCCAAGGCCAGGGTCCCCCCTCCCCAGGTGCCCGCGGAGAGAGGAGAAGCCGTTTGCTGTTGGCAGGAGGAGGCTGGAGCCGGCCGGCGGCTCCTTGAGGCTGCACAGGCTGGGAAAAGGAGGAGGAGGAGGAGGAGCAGCTGGGTGCTGGCAGCCCCATGAGGCGCCAGGATGGGAATGGGAGCCTGGCTCCCTGCCCCAGGGCAGCTCTGGTGGGTGCAGGTGCAGCCACAGAGGGGCTGCCTGTCATCGACCCGCCCGGGGCCGGGCACAGGCTCCTGGGGCTGGTGCCACGGAGCGCCGTGGCCGTGGTGCTGCAAGGTCGTCCCGGCCCTGGGAGCGCTGCCCAAGGCCGCGGCTGTGCCGGAGGGATGTGTCCAGCGCCGGGGCTGT